ATTTTCTAATGGCTTTCATGCTTGGGAGTGCACCAAGAATTTTGAATTATTGAATGCATATGAACAAATACAGCGTAATGTATCTCCCTTCAAACCATTTGGACATTTTTCAATAATCTTTTTTTTTGTTTAATTTAATTTTAATTGCATTGGTTATATTCGTGGATTATTCTACCAATTGCCTTCCCCCCCCCCCCCATATACTTACAATGATGTATCGAACAAAGTGTTGGACAATTAATAAATAATATACATGAAAAATTGTATGACAAAAATGTATATGCTGAGATAAATGAGATTAGATGGGTAAAAAAGTAAAAAAGATATAGTCAGAAATGAACTCATTCAAAGGAACTTAAGAGTTGTTTCAATAGTTTGTAAAAATGAGCCAAAGTGGGCTACAATGGTTTAATCATGTGCATAGATCACCTCTGGGGCCCATAAGGAAAGGTGATTAATTACAAATTGAATAGGCTAAAAGAGTTATAAGCAAATAAAAAAAGGACACTAGTCAAAGTAGTAAGAAATGATTTTAAGTGTTCATAAATTAATAATGTATATGGTGAAATAAGATTCATGTAGCCAACCCCATATAGTTGGGATAAGGCTTAAACGATGACACTGTTGGTTTTCTTTTTTCTGTGACTAAAAGATTCCATCAATTATGTAAACTCCTCATCATTAATGGAATGAAAAAGATATAATTCATATTTATAGTATGTTCTCAAAGTCAAGCAAACAAGTATGCTTAATAAGAAAATTTTATTTACTCAATCAAATAAACCACACTTGTTAATCAATTAATTACTTGATTCGCTTTCCAAAACACATTTGAGTACCTTAAGACCATATTCACTCTTGCAATATTAGAACATTTAGACATTGAAAAGACTAGGGTAAGGCCAAAAAAGGTATGAATAAAAATCACTATTAATTTAACAATGGATATATCATTAAATATAACAAAATGGCTTATACAAGATTCATGTTATCACCCCCATATGTTTTTTTTTAGAGTAACTAACTCCATATAGTTGGGATAAGGCTTATATGACAAGAATGATGATTTCTTATCCTATCCCAATGGTGGTTTAAGCTTCTTGTTGGGACAACCAATTATGAATTCAATATATCCTTCCATCAAAATTCTTTCTAAACTTTTTTTTTCACTTCATGGGCAAATATGATATTTTATTATTAATGGCAACATTTTAATAAAATACTTATTTATATCTTAATTTTGTCTCTTCTTTTAATAAATCCATTGTAGCTATTTATTTATAAACTTATAGTTAGGGATAAGTTTGCTCATAAAAGATTAAAAAAATCAACCAAAATCAAGAAAACAAACAAAAAAATGAAGTTAACCAAACTAGTTAGTATTGTATATTATTATTAACTAGTGGAAGGTGCCCATTCTAAGCATGAGCATGAAGATAAATAAGAGACATATCATCAATGTGTAACCGATTTATAAATGATGTGAACAATGCAATTTCTTAACATGAAATCTAATTTTGAAGGTGCATAAGAAATGAGGTGGATGGAGTTTATATTACAATTTATAAGTTTAGTGCTGATAGTTAAACATCATATAGTTTAACTTGAGTTTACATGTTAGATTATTTAATTTTATTTTGTCAATGAAAAAGCTTTCAATTATATTAATATAATTTTAAAACATATGCATCATAGAAGATAAATGAATTATCAAGCTTGCTTTCAAGATTGGTTGCTTTCTTTTATATTAAGCTTCCTCCCCTATTTGAAATGAAAATATAAGAATATAATTAGCATGTTCTGATATAGTTATTAAAGTATTATTACACTGTGTACGTACTTTCATTGTTAGGTCGAATATTTCTTATTGCAGTGAAATCTATAAAATGAAAATAGGCTAATTATGAAAGGGTGAATAATTTTCAAAGAAATAGTTTATTTAAAAAAGTTATAGTACCAGTGCCTTATATGCACAAAGCTTTTGGATTAATTCCCTCTTTAATAAAAAAATGTATTATAACCATGAAAGCACGAAAAATAAGAATCATGATAGATGTTGTAAGGTAGTAAGAAGATAATTCTTTTATATAACTTTACTTGGCTCTCTAATGGACAAGGGCCTTGCAATTATTAATTGGGTAAGAAAAAAAATAAAGCATTAATGATCAAAACATCAAGGAAACCAATACTACTTTAAAAAGCACAAATACTCATGGAGTATTTGTATAATTTTGTAAGGAAAATTATTGATTTAAAAATGAGGAAAAAAGAGAGGAATGTGTTATTGGTCTTAAATGACTTGAAAAGAGCTAATATTTAGACAAATTTAGCCCTTTATTTAACTTCTTGCTAAATTGGATGGGAGGGAAAAATGAAAATTTTGAATAAACTATTTTTTAAATTTTATAAGGATGAAATTTGCCCCTCTATATTAAAAGTTCTTAGTCTTAAATGAGTTGAAAGCAACTATTATTAAGACAAATATATCTATCTGTTTTTACTTTTTATTGACTTCCACAAGAGAGTCAAAAATCAAATTTTGTGACCAATTGTTACAACTATATTGAATCCATTTGTTTCATCATTCCAATTTGTCTCCTCTCCTCTTTTTTTATCTTCTCTATCTATTTAAATTTTTGACTATTTATTATAATTGAAATTAAATGTGTGCCTCATCTCCTTTGCTCTTCTTCATTTGTTGAAATTAATTACTTGTTAGAATTTTATGATAGGTATATGTGCACGTGGAAATTTTAAATTACAATAACAATTATTATTATTAAATTTTGTATTCCATTTATGTCATAAATAAAAAATGATTTTATTTTAACAAATTTTTTATTTAATATGATGAATATACGACATTAGAAATTTCTATAAATGTTTTTGAAAAAATTCTATACTTTTTCATTTTTTTTTGTGTTCTATATTTTTAAATATTTATTATTCACTTGTGACATGATGACTTTCTTTGAAAAGTTGGGTCGTTGACCCACTATCTAGATAAGAAAATAGCTTTACTTTCAGATCTGTTTCAAATTATATATTTCATCTATATTATATAAATATTTTTTACTTATCACACTTAATTTCTGTTTGATATGATTAATATATAATTTTTTATATATATTTTTTTGATTACTTATACGTTTTTTTAAGATTTATTATTTAACTATCATATCATTGATTAATCCATTTGACCCAAACCACTAACCCACCACCCATAAAGAAAAATAGTTTGATTTCTATGTTGATATTAAATTTTGTATTACATTTCCAATATTAATAAAATTATTTTTTATGTATAATACTTATTTTTGTTCAATATAATGAATGTATAATATTAGATATATACCTAATATTTTATTTTTTATAAATATATAACATTAGATATGTACCAAAAAATTTATCCATTTTTTTATTTTTGTGAATTTTTTATTTTTTATTTTTAAAAATTTTATTATTTGACTATGATATCACCATTTAATTTCCATGTTGATTTTAAATTTGGCATTCCATTTTCATCATTAATAAAAATACTTCTTACATTTCGTACTTATTTTTGTTTAGTATAATGAATATACAATATTAGAGATATGCCCAATTCCTTTTTTTGTACTATACATTTTATTAATTTTTATTTTTATTATTTAATTATGTCATTATTTATTAACCCATTTGACCCCAAATGCTTGAATTGCTTACCCACCATTGGGAGGGAAGAAAATTGTTTTGTTTTCAAATTTATTTTTATATTATTAAAATTAAAATTATGGATTTAATTAGTAGAATTTAATAATGAGAAAAATATATCTTAAATATAGGATTTAATGAGAGAATATACCTTAGATATGGGATTTAATGAGAGAATAGGAAAATAGTTTTATTTTCAATTGGTTTAAAATTTTACATTTCATTTCCATCATTAATAAAAATATTTCTTATTTATCATACTTATTATTGTTTAATATGTCAAATATATGATATTAAAAATATTCTTTTTTTTAATTCATTTTTTTTGCATTTTACGTACTTTTGGATTTTATTATTTCATTGTAGCAACACGGATTGACCCATTTGACCCAAAATGGTTTAATTTCTTACCACCACCTAGATGAAAACACTAATTTTTCTAGGTAGATTTTAAAAATATAATTTTTTATATTATTGAAATATTAATTCGTTATGCATATATTTAATTAATAGAATTTAATGATAAAAATAAACAAAATTCCCTTAAATATATGATTCAATGAAAGTGAATACAAGTTAATACCTTAAATTAATTTTTGATTTAATGAGAGAGAATTGAATGGATTGAATATCTTAATTAAAATTACCTATTTTCAACTCATTTAATATCAATAACCGGTTATCCTATTTGTCTTCATTTTTTACCAATAGAATTAAATATGAAGGGATAAAATTGATTCTTAGAAAATTTCATAAATATTCTTGAGGCTATTAATGCTTTTTAAAGTAGGGTAAATGTCAACTGGTTTAGACCTAGGATTATCATTAATTGTGACAAAATCATGGACCTAGACCCGTCCTAAGTAATAATTAGGACAATTGGGTTTGACACGATAGACTCAATTATATTGACACTTATATTTATTTATTATCGAAGTAATTAATAATTTAAAAACTTGAAATTTGATAATATAGCTTTAATAAAAATAATATTAAAATACTAAATTATTTATATGCTAATAAATTAAGTTTTTTAACTAATACTATTTTATATATTATCTATCAAATTTATCATTTCAAACATAAAATATAATAACAATTATAAAACCTGTATATTTTTAATAGAATAATGATCGAGAACAAGCAATAATTAGAATTGATCAAATTATTAAATATTAATCGAGATTCGAGACAAAATATGAACCAGAACCAGCACAATCGGTTCGTTCGGTCGGTCGGGGTGAACCGACCCATTGAGGCCTATATTTTTCATTTGGCGGCTTGGCCAAGCCTTTAAGGCCCTGACCCTGTGACCCGCGTTTCCTGCCAGCTTGCGCGGAAGCACAAACGATCGATCGACCAAAATGGCGGGAAGATATGTTCTGAACGGTCTGAGTCCATCGTCTTCGAGAAGTCACTAGATTTCTTCATCCAACACCTCATCGCATTTTGCATGTCAAGTTTCACGTATTTGCCCATTTTATCACAAAACCCTAACCGTTCTAATTCACTCTTCATTCGAACTCGGCGTAGAGTTCTGCCACTCATTTCGAGTCGTTTCTATTGTTCCTGCGTCAGAAGATCTATAATGGTTGCATTGAACATCGTCGCTGAGTACGCGAAGTCTAATCGATCTTCCTGTAAGAAATGCTCGAAAACCATTACTGTGAATACTCTGAGGTTAGGGTTGGTCAGTAGAGATTCTCGGGGCTTCGATATGACGAGATGGCATCACTTGAGTTGCTTCCCTACTGACTCTGAGCAGATCGTTTCTGCGGAGAAGATAAAGGGTTTTTCGATACTGAAGGTTCTACTGGATGCACGCTATTCGTTTTCTTCTTTTTTGTTTTTTTGAATCCCTATCTCACCGATTAAAAATTCCTTTATTTGATAGTTGTTTTTATTCTCGTTCTTTTCTGCGGTTTCAGAGCAGTGATCAGGAAGCATTGAAGAAATTGGAGGCCGGGCGGAGCCAGTCGCTTAAAGAGGTTTGAGCTGATTTCACTGCAATCCAGCCATTCCATCGAAATCAATGTTGTGAAAAAATAACCTTTACCACAATTCTTTGTTCGGGAGATATTATTGAACTTGCACGTGCGAAGACATATGTTAGATGGTATTGAGCTATTACCGGTGCTATTCTTTTTCAGGTTTCTGATGGAGATGAAGATGGAGCCGAAGGAAGCGAGGGAAAGAGTTCAAAGGAGTTGAAAGTAAGTAAACATGCCTAAAGGGTGTCATGGCTTTGGTTAATTTTCTACTATTTGTTGTCTTCACTAATTTTCTTTTGGTTTCAGGTTAAAAAAGCAGAAGCGGAGACAGATGAACTTAAGGAAAGGAGTTCAAAGAAATCAAAGGTGGATGGGTACTCTTATGAAGTTTATGAACTTTTGCATGAATGTATTTCTCTTAGTGTGGCATGAGCATTGTTTTAGTTATTTCTTTGCCCTGTTGCTTACATATTTTTTATTTATTCTAGGTTTGTAAACCAGATGGAGCTGAGATGGATGGCCTTGATCAAGGGAATTCAAATGAATCGAAGGTAGTTTGATGCTATTTTGCAAAGCCTTGTCGCAACCAGTGATTTAAAAGGCGCGCCTAGGCGCACAGGCGAGGTGCATTTTAGGGTAGGTGCCTCGCCCAGGTCCTAGGTGTGCCTTGTGCCTCAGCCCAGGTGTGCGCCTTTTGAAAATTTGACACCTTTTCTTTTTTCTGAGTCTAGCGATTGGGCTGGGGGCTCCGCCCCCGGACCTTGTGCCATGTCCCTCGAGGCAAGCCCAAATAGATCCATGTTAGGGTCTTAAATTCTTAGTTTTCACACAAAAAATAATGGTTTTATAGTTTTAATTGCTTTTTAAGAAGATATTTTATTAGGATGAATGAATGGACAACATTACCAAATAGGGGGTTCTTGAACTAAGAATTTAAGACTCTAACATGGACTTGTTTGGGCTTGCCTCGAGGGGTGTGGCACAAAGGTGGCTAGTAGAATTAGGAATGTAATATGTCACATTAGCTACTTGAAATAATGTAATTGAGAAAAAAAGAGATTGTGTGTTTTATATGCTTGAAAATGTTTTATATGTTTGATTTCATTTTTAAATTCTCAYTTGAATATGCTTTACATATTATGTTTATGTATTTTAATTTTAGATAATAGGTTTTTTAAAACATTTATTTTAAAATTTAAGTTTATATTTTTATTAATATTATGTTTTATAATTTTTTGATTTTTTTTGAATTTTTTAGTTTTTTTTTTTTTTAAATTTTTGCGCCTTGCTTAAAAAGGCACGCGCCTCTCGCCTTGTGCCTCAGGCACAAATTGACCCCTGCACCTTGTGCTTTTAAAACACTGTTTGCAACTATATAGGATCAGCTAAGAAGCTGACTAACACCATTAATATATTGTCAAGCCCTTCATTGGATCTTTTTTCTGGCCATGTTGATGTTTCTAATTTTGAATTTGAAGTGAATTTTCTGTTACTCTCATAGTTATACAGAACAACCAACCAGTGGTTTTAATAAAATCTTACTTTGCTAATAAGAAAAGGACTTTTCTGGAAACCGAAAGAGGTATTTAACCTGACCAGGAATGTCATTGCAAAGAGCAATTCTGAACTGATTACTTGTCTATAATAATGGAATAGGTTACACAGACCAATTATGAAGTTAGAATCAAGCTTCAATTTTCAATGATTTTATCTGTTGTACTAAAGTATCTTCTTACTGTTGTTGATACTTGATAATGGCAAAAGTTGATATTATTTTGGATATGGATGATATCCTTTCCATTAATTTTTCTGGACACTCTGGACTTGTTTGTTTCCTACCTAGTTTATCTCTATATGATATTTTCATGCTTTTCCACAATTGAGCTGATCAGTTTCCTTTGTAATAATTGTTCCCAGTTGTGTACATCTGGAAATGAAGCTAATTTGGGCATAGTTTTTTCTCTTTCTGGTGTAAAGGATAAGTACAAGGTTTGCACTTATCAATCATGGATCTGCTTGGTTTACCGTTTTGGTAAATTTGATGAGCTTATCAATCATGGATCTGCTTGTCTTGTAAATGCTCCTTTTCATTACGTGTTATTTAAGCTGTTGCTTTAATCTTGTTTCTTGAATCAGGATGCCACATTATTGCCAAAATGGAAGGCTTTTCAAACAATTATATTTCTTGAACGGGTGAGATGTTGGTCGGTTGGTCCTAATTTATTGAATATTTCCTTTAGATATCTATGGCTTGAACATTAGTTAGGTGTTAGGTGAGTTGTTTGTGATGCAAAATTTTCTTTTCTGCCACAGTTTGATGTTTGTCAATACTTGATTATCTGAACTTTTAATAGCGCAAAGGTTTTGCTTTATTTCAACTTTTTTTTTTGACAAATAACTTCAATATTTTATTAATTAACCAATAAAATATACATAGAGTACAAGCATCCCATGGAGAGGTGCGGGGTGCAACTTCTCACAAATTTAAATTAGATTACGATTGAGCCACCTACAATTTTCCCCTATTAACCCCTTGGTTTTCTAATGTATTGGCCAATCCATTTCCCGATCTTTGAACCCATTGTTTCCTTAATGTCATGCTATTAACCATTTAAATCTCTTGATTACATCCCTATAGGCCCATATAACAGACTCTGGGTTCTTCAACCATCCCACCACTTCCTTGGAACCCCTTCAAGAATTAAACTCTCCAAGTTCAACTCTTTTGCTATCTGCACCTCTTGAAGAACAGCCAGGAATTCAGCCCTGATAAAGTCCTCAGCATCAGCAGGGGTTAAGAACAAAACAACAAGAAAACCAGCTGTATCTGAAATTGCTTTATTTCAATTTTTCATAATTCACTAAATCAAGTCGAGTTCAGCTTGCAATCTACATTTTCCTCTTATCTTGAAGACTTGAACCTTTGGTTGAAATATGTAATTATTTCTTCATCTTGGCACTACTGGTGTAATATAATTTAGTGGTGTCTTTCTCTCTATGTATGGTATGCATAAAATTTTGAATTTCAATAGTTTTGAAATTTCTTTTTGACTTGAAGCAATTCTGGAGGTCTTGATATTTCAAAACTTGAACCAATTTCAAGTGACTATGCTCTTGTTCAAAACTTTTAATAGTCTACTGCTCTGTGTATGTATGTGTGTTTGTGATAGGATGCACTCTCTAATTTGAGAACACTTTGGAAATTTGGAACTTTGATTTTTTGGTTTTGGAAAGATTGAACCTGGTGTCTGTTTGCACCTAGTTTTTGTTCCAAATCCAACAATTGGGATTGTTCCATGTAACAAATCCAGTCAAGATAGATCAAAAAGAAAAAAAGAAAAAACAAATGCAGTCAAGCCAACGAAACTAACCCAGAGCTCATTGATGTGGGATGACCTGCAGTCCAGAACATTTCTGCAACCTCATTCTTGTTTTTGCAGGTCCATCCATCACTTTTGCATTCTAGGTCATCCCTTTTGGAATAATTCTGCCATGTAAGGGTAATGAGCCTCCTAGTTCAGCCTGTGTTTGAGCTTACTCCTTCAAGCTCAGGCAGGAAAAAAGATGCTTAGTGTATACTATGCTTTTCTGTTTTCATTTTGTTAATTTTCTCTGTTAGGTTGCTTTGATAGTGATAGAATCAGAAATGAGCACATTGGAGAGGACTTGGGAGTAGCTCCAATAGTGACAACTGACAAGATGAGGGAAAGTTGACAGAGTCATGTATATAGATGACCAATGACTGCACCAATAAGGAGTGTATTTGTGCAAGTAGAAGGCTCTAAAAGAGCAAGGGGAAGATAAAAGAAATTGCAGTCTGAAGTGGTAAAAATTATTTAAAGGCTTATTATTTTACAGAAAACATGGCTCTTGATAGAGTGAAATGGTGGGACAGGATTTGTGTGGCCAACCTCAAATATTCAGGATCAAGGCCGTGTTTAGTTGAGTTTAGGTTGCTTCAGTAGCAAATTAGAATTCAGGTTTCTTTTGTAAAGAGAGCCTTCTGTTCTCTATAAACAGTTATATTTTCCTTCACTTTTGAAGTTAAATGATTGAACAAAGAAAGCTTTTGGTCCACAGCTTTTGGAATTTGTTTTTGAGGTGGACTGGTGGAAATTGGAAACACCATTAACCCTTGGATCTAGGACTATTTCCCTCCTCTCTCTCATGTGCCTTCTCCTTCCCTCTTAAAGTCCCTTCCTTGGGAACTGCACCACACAACTTATAGAATGACATAGCAGAAGGGACACCAACCCTCACTTGATCTATTGTTGAGTTGTTGGGTCGTGTGAAGTCTTTTAGTGTTTTTTTATTTTATGCTAATGGGCCTGAATTTTGATGGACCTAAGTCTTTTATATTTATATATATATATATTTATTTGTTCATGCAGCTGCCCTACTAAGGGCTTTCTTGTAAGTATACATTTAATTATGATTAGATCTAATAAAACTCAATTAGGGAGCTGGGAGACAGCTATGATTATCTTTGCCCAAAATCCAATTCTATTCTCTTCTCTTTTCCCTACTTGGTATCAAACCAGTGTTCTTCCTCTTTTTCTTTCTTTCTTGAACCCATAAACTTTAGGCATTAGGGTCAACGGAGTGTATGGATGGATGAGTTGCTGATCATTGTTGGAAGTTGTTGCCTAGTTGGTAGAAGGTTTTGCAGATCTTAAGTTGCTGTTTTGAAGCCTAGAAATACTCCTGAAGATTTCTACCCAAAATCTGAACTGACAGGAGGAGTCTGAACTTGATTGAGTTAAGGGTTAAAGAGGTGGATTGAGGCTGGCGCTTGGGGCTCTATAGGAGCTATTTGATCTGTTATAGGGTGCAACAGCCTTTGGAAAATGATCTAGGAAAGCTGCCAGGAGCAATTGTGGTTTCTCTCTTTGTCCTAGGAGCCAAGGTGGGTGAAAACCCTACCTTCAGGTGTTCATTTGACTATAGGTCAGTTGTTCTAGGTTTGTTATACCTTCCTTTTGTTTTCAATGGCCTCCAGATTGATTTGTTAGATCAATGGAGCAATTCGGAGTTCATTTGAAGCAATACTCATAATCTAGGGTTGGTCTAGCAAGCTTTGCGGACAGTTTTTACAATGTTGTGATTGCAGTAAGGTTGGATCAGACTAACCACTTGGAGTGGTCTCAGTCTATACAGAATTATGTTTGCAATAGAGGGAAACTTGGTTATCTTATAGGCTGTAGTAAGAAACTAGAATAGAAGGATCCTACATATGAGAAGAGAATTTGGGAGTGTTCCCAAGTTTATAGGGGTGGAGGCTGGTTTAGCACCAAGTTTACTAGTCTCTACAAGTAGATCAAGGACATATTTGTGTTCAGAAATGAAGATACCATCCTTAAATCTAACAACTTCAATTTGCAAGAAATATCCGAGATCTCCCAAATCCTTGATTTCAAACTCAGTGTTAAGGAACCGTTTGACTTTAACCACTTCCTGGGTGTCATTGCCAATAACCACAATGTCATCAACATAAACAATAAAAAAAGTCACCAAGGAATTACTCCCCTTAACAAATAAAGTATGAACATACCGAGTCTGTGCGTATCCAAAAGAGACAAGGGCAGCCCAGAATCTCTCAAACCAAGCTCTAGGAGACTGTTTAAGGCTGTAAAGGGATTTCTTCAATTTATACAACTTCCCTTGCATTTCCTTCCCATACAACCCTGGAGGTAAAGATATATCGATCTCTTCATGTAGGTCTCCATTTAAGAAGGCATTTTTAACATCAAATTGGTGAAGTGGCCAATCGAAATTATTGTGGACACCCCTATTGTCTGATAGGGAGTGTTTTAGAGACTGCTTGAGAAGTTATTATTATCTTTGCATGACTCGACCAGATATTTCATATGCAATGAGTGTCATTGGTTAGTTTATGCATTCACCTAGAGATACACATTTAGCAGTTGTAGAGAGGGTTTTGTGTTAGTTAAAAGGCACTCTAGGGGAAGGTATTCTGTTTGCCAAGCACAAACATATGAAGTTGGAAGCATACACTGATGCTAACTAGGTTGGATGTATTGATGATAGGAGATTCACATCAGGATACTACGCTTTGGTAGTAGGGAACATTATCTCATAGAGGAGTAAGAAGCAGTTTGTAGTAGTCAGATCTTTAGATGAGGCAGGGTGTAGAGCAATGGCACATGGAGTTTAAGAATTATTGTGGCTTAGATCACTTTTGGAAGAGTTGGATATTGACTATCACAAGCCAATGATGCTATATTGTGATAACCAGATAGCTATCAACATTGCACATAATCCTGTTTAGCATGATGGAACCAAGCACACAGAGGTTGGTAGACATTTTATACAGGAGAGAGTTGCTTTAGGTGAAGTTTGCTTGCCGTTCATTGCTTCAGAAGAGTAGTTGGCTGATGCCTTGACCAAAGGTGTTCCAAAAGGAAAATTGATACACTATATAAGCAAGCTGGGCATGATTGATATCTATGCTCAACTTGAGGGGAGTGTAGAGAGACTGGGCTGAATGGGCCTTAGTTCTTGACTACTTGTTTTCTGTTTAGTAGTGCTCTATTTATATTTTATGTGTTAATGGGCCTGTTAACTTCTTTTAATTTCTTTTAAGTTATTGCTGAGTTGGCCGCCCACTTAAGGGCAGACATGTAATTATCTTGATTAGTTGAGATTAATAAAAGATTAGTGAGGGGAGAGTGGGAACCATCGAACTCTCTTCTTCTTCCTCTCCTTCTCAATCTTCTTCTCTTCTGCTGTAGTGCTGTATCTCTCTTCTTTTCTTCCTTTTTTATTGCTGTAATCAGAATTTAATACCAGACTTAAGAGGACTGATTCACATCTACTAACATTGTGGCAAAAAGAGAAGACATGGCAGGATGTGATTAGTAAACTGTAAAGAGGTCTGACAGGACAGGAAACAACAGAATAAAATGCCTGAAACTTAATTGCACAAAATTTGAAAAAATAGGGTGGACTTTAGGTAGGGGGTTGGCCAGTTTTGAAAGAAAAATCTGCCCAAGTTGCAATCCCTAGTCATGGCTCTTCATTCTGGTACTCATCAGCACCTTGTTTCATCTGCAATGATCTCAGCTACAATATGATTGTTGTTGTTGGCACTTCCAGTGTAAAAAGTGGTAAACCTTTTCTGCTCTCCCTACCATCCAACTTCTGCGGTCCTTGTTGGTGCCCTGATCCAGCCTCTCTGCCATCAATCTTGATTTGTGCCCGGTGTTAGCTTAGCTTGTCGTTGGACTTCTTTTGAAAGTTTTTTTGTACTTAGCACAATCTGCTGAAAGTTGTAAGTTGTCTTCTGCTTAAATCAATAAACATTTACATTCTGGCCAAACCTCTTGTTGATCACATTTTCTATAACTCTACTTGTATTTTGAAGACTGCTTTGACCGAACACAATATTAGAACCCCTCTTGACCCATGATACCCAGACTCCTGTACATGCCTATCATAGTGATATCACAACTGATACTTATGGGATGATACCTGGTACTGCATAGATACTTCTAGGTGTACACTATAGCATTACCACTTTTAAAATATGTAAGGTGGCATGTTTTAACAAATTATTCTATCAAAATATATGTACATGTTAGAAATGTAATTAAATTTTGCAAGACATAATTCTCGAGAAATGCCATTTAGCTTAAAAAACCAGATATAAATGCATGATGTGAGCATATTATATGGGATATTCATACATATATCCATGTCCAGAATTTTAGGAAATGGAGACTGGAGATTCACATCTCTATAACCTATACCTGTGTCTATGTCATATCTGTATTTGTATCTGGGCATCATAGCTCTTGACGAAGACAAAGAAATTCCATCATAGCAGGAATAACCCCATAAGTCAATTGCTTTATCTGTAACTTTGATGGCCAGACAAATAGTTGACTTTTAACCTGATCAAATAACAGGAAATTATTCAATTTTCTGATCCAATAGTTTGCAAGGTGCCTGAGCTACAAGGACATGGTTTGGTGGCACCTATCTTGGCAAGTCCATGAACTAATAATGTTGGGGTTGAAATTCAACATTGTTTTGTGACAATGACCTCCCTGAATTTTTAGATTCCATCACTTAACCCCCACCATTAGCATTCGGTGAGTTAACTTCAAAACAGATTCTCATGTGACAAGACCCTAGTGTTATGCATCTTCATTCTTCTTAATACAAGACATCTTTAGTAAAAAAGAAACAAGAAAAAAAAAGAGATCCTCTTCCCTCTTCTTCCTCCTCATCCTCCTCTTAAGGAGGCTTACGCTTCCTTGTGCTCAGGAGGCTTACGCGTCTTATGTTCTGAACTACGTCTCATGCCTCCAGGCAGTGAAACACCTTGTGTCATGCCTCTGGGTTTTAAAACATTGGAATCTAAAAGTTCAAGGGAGGGGGGTTGTTGCAAAAATAAAGTTTTAGGGCTAAGTGTTGCTATCCCTTAAGTACAGGGTGGTAGTCTGTAATTTACCCTTACTAATTACTAAAATTGTGCTGTTTCCTAATTCAAGTTGGTTTACATTCTCAATAACAAACTCAGTACAAAGGCCTTCAAGATGTTATTATTGGCATGGGTCCCATCTTTCTAGATAAAGTAGATTGTCTAATTACAAATTAGACGATTAAGACCGAATTTAGTCTCCTAAAATCAAATAAAATAAACTCATCCTTAATGCTTCAGGGCTGGGTCTCAAACAAAATATGTATTTATAAAGAAATAGTCCCCTCCTCCCCTGGCACACATGGTGAATGCCCCATGTTTATATGTTTACATGCATTTACAAATTGAAATATGCACTTTTAAACTTTTTTCATACTTCTTGACACAGTGATTGAAATGGTCTTCATTTACATGTTCTCCTTTACACTTTAGCACAGGATGATGGACTTCACGATTCAAGAAAAATTGCTGCATTCGATTTTGATGGGTGCCTGGTGAAAACATCTGTTAAAAGGTACTTTGACTGCATCCAAGTATCCAACATTTTGTTGCATTATTTGGGAAAACAGAAAAACGATAAAAAAGTTTTTTTTTTCCTACTTTGTTATCAACTTTGGAGTCTGCTTTGAATTGAGAGGAGATGACAATTCTTTTTAGATATTTACTTGATCTGTTAATGCTAGAATTTTGAATTAGACTTGGTTGGAATTGGTTCACATTGGTATGTTGAAATAGTTACTTGATATTGCGGTGAATTCCCAAAATTTTGCTATAACTTAAAAGCTCCTATAGGAACATTATATAAACTATTTTTTTTTTGTGATCAAAACATTATATAAACTATTTTTTATTGGTAACACTATGTAAATATTCTGGACTGATTGGCCATGGAAATTCAATTAGGGTGGAATTATTAGCAATCAATTAAGGAATGGAAATAGCCAAATTGCTAAACCGTAAAAGTTTAATTATGGAAGGGGATCAAGAACAAACATCAGGTTGTTAACAGCTAAGATGTAGCAAGGTGCCAACCAGCTGGTTGGGATTGAATCCTGCTTGCACCTGGGTTGGGGGATGGGCTACCCCCTGTTGTGTAGCCCTTAAAAAGATATAAAAAAAAAGATACAGCTAAGATGTAACTACCAAATCTTGATCTTGATTATTCATAAAAAAAATCTTGATCTTGATGGAATAACATGTACAGTATAAAAGATCAAAGAAATAAGAAGAGTGGGAGACATTTTTACCATTCGAACAATCTCTCTCTCTCTCTCTCTCTCTCTCTCTCCCTCCTCCTCCTCTCTGTCTCTTTCTCTCTCTCTGATTAATTTGGGAGGTAGCACCCCCTTGAAGCAGTGCCTAACACAATTAAAAGGGGATAGGTGGAGATGTCCAGCCAATACAATGGTTATAAAATACTTTGTACCCAGTATTCTTTTAATGAATTAAATAAGAATCTTAGTTTACATTCAGGGAAAAAACTCTGTAAACTATGAAATTAAGCGTGGACTGTCAGAATAAAGTTCCAAGTGTTTATGCACTTCTTATAGATCAATTGTTGAGCTACATAATCAGATAGATTTAGTTGCCAAATCACTTCAAATATATAACAAACTTTTAAACGTTCGCTAGTGTGAACCTGAGAAGGTCTATCCTAGCATTGCACTCAGCCCATATTTCATGTAATGTTGCTACTCTCCTTTCGAAACCAAATGGAATGGTGAAACAGGATTCATGTAGCTGCCCCCCCTATAGTTGGGGCAAGGCTTAGATGATGATGATGCTACTCTCCTTCCATTGCAAATTAATTGTCTTTATTGATACATCACAAATGTTTTAGATGAAAATTTTGCAAGTCGATTTTTTATCTTGTTTCGAGTCATGAACTTTGGTGCTATAGTGCCTAAAAAACTTTAAAAACAAATATAGTTTAAAAATAATTATCTTAGGCACAAATATGGTTTGTAGGATAAAAGTATTATTCTGTATGAATTGAGCACAAAATAGTTATAAATAATTGTAGAAAAATAAATGTAGTAATGGAACTATGGGATGATTTATCAAAATAAGAACCTTCTATTGAAACATTTTTACTATACATGGTAATTCTTTTTTTTTTTGGAAAAGGTAAAGTAATATTTATTGAAACAAGAGATATGCAAGGAAAGCTGAGATCAGTCCCAGAAAGGCCGACTGACAAAATCAGCAGTTACACATTTCACCAAGAACTAGAAAGAAAAATAACAGACACATTACAATTTCTGAATTCCTCGGACACTGACACCCAAGAAATTAATTTGCCCACTGCTTTCTGGATTAGCTCTTCCGGACTTAAAGCCTTGTTACAAAAAATCCTTCTATTCCTCTCAGACCAGATGGACCATAAAACAGCACTAGGAATAGTCTTCCATACACTCTTCTTTTTCTTGGTCAACCCCTTAAGCTTCCAGGAACCCAAAAGCTCCTTAACCGAACTTGGCATAACCCAACTTAAGTTCATAGAGCTGAAGAAATGATTCCATAGCTGTGACGAATACGGGCAGTGAATGCACAAATGATCAGTGGTTTCAGCAGTGCTCCCACACAAGCTGCATGAAAGGTCCAAAAGTTGAATGCCCCTTCTCACAAGGTTAGCTCTAGCCAAACATTTATTTAGAGCCATAGTCCAAACTAGAAAGTTAGATTTAGTTGGGCTAATGGAATTCCACACCTGATGGCAAGGGAAATCAGAAACACCCCTTCTACAGAGATTAGAAGCCAGAGACTTGACAGAGAAAACACCATCTGAATTCCACTTCCACTGCCACTTATCCTCTGAGCTGAAATCCATCTCTTGATTTTGAAGAAAGGCCAACAGGTTCATTATCTCTTCCACCTCCCAATCGAAAAGGTTCCTTCTAAAGGAAGGAGACCAAAGAACTAAATCACCAGATACACTGCAACACTCAGCAATAGAAGCCTCTTGGTTAGAAGCACACTGGAAGAGGAGAGGAAAGGAATCAGCAAGGGGGCCATCCGAACACCAAGAATCCTTCCAAAACTTGGTCCTATTACCATTGCCAACTTTAATTGAGATCCCAACAGCAAGAGCTAAGAAATTCTTCATTATCCCTTTCCACAACGAGTTTCCCCAATTGGGAGGAGGGTCCCTAGTTCTCCAATTGCCCCATTCCACACCATATTTACTAGCAATGAGAAGTCTCCACCAGGCATCATTTTCTGCCGCAAATCTCCAAATCCACTTGCAGAGAAGAGCAGAGTTAAAAGATTTCAACTTCCTTATGCCTAACCCCCCTTCATCCTTGGGGAGGCAAACTTGATTCCAACTTACCAAGTGAACTTTTTTCTCCTCTTCTCAACCTCTCCAAAGAAAATTCCTTTGAAGTTTTTCAAGCTTACTTGCAACTTTGTTTGGAATAGGGAAAAGGGAAAGGAAATAGGTGGGTAAATTGGAAAGTGTGTTCTTAATCAAAGTCACCCTACCCCCAAAAGAAAGGTATTTTGCCTTCCAAGAAGCCAATTTTCTCTCCATTCTCTCAATTACTGGGTCCCAAATTGAAGATAATCCACAACTCGCTCCCAGAGGATGACCCAAATATTTGACTGGGAGGGACTCAATCTAACAAGCCAAAATTTTTGCACAATCTGCTAAATTGGAAACCTGGCCCACTGGAATTATTTGACTTTTATTCCAATTGACTTTAAGGCCAGAGACCACCTCAAACCAAGATAAGATCCCAAGAATTAAATTCACCTGGGAGGCAGAGGCATCCAAAAAGCATAAAGTATCATCTGCAAATTGGAGAATGTTCACCTTCTCCCCCCTGGAGAAATTGCAAAGCCTTCCCACTCATCAGAATCAGTAGCCTTTTTACAGAACAAAGTGAGGATCTCCATTATACATATAAAAAGTAGAGGAGGCAGAGGATCACCCTATCTAAGACCCATGGAACTATCAAAGAAGCCCGCGGAATGACCATTAATCAAAATTGAAAATTTTGGAGAGGTGATACAAACTTTTACCCAGTTCCTCCATTTCTGCCCAAAATTCGTCTGCTGTAACACAAGATCAACACATTTCCAGTTGACATGATCATAAGCCTTTTCAATATCAAGTTTGCAAATCAGCCCTGGGTAACCTTCTTTTTTTCTTGAATGTATAAGCTCATTTGCAATAAGGATCGAGTCCAACATCTGTCTACCCGGAACAAAGGCACTTTGGTTGTTAGAAATGACACTACCTAGAACCCCTTTCATTCTCTTAGCAAGAACTTTGGCTAAGATTTTGTAGAAACTATGCAGAAGACTAATTGGCTTGAAATCTTTAATGTTCTCTGCACCTTCAATCTTTGGAATAAGGGTTATAAAGGTAGTGTTCAAGCTCCTCTACAAGGAACCTCTCTCATAGAAGCCTTGGAAGACATTCAGAATATCTTGTCTCACAAAATCCCAACATTTAATGTAGAAAAGATTTGTGAGACCATCAGGCCCCGGGGATTTTTCATCAGCCAACATCTTAATTGCTGCTTTTATTCCTCCTCCGTGAAAGGTCTTTCAATAAAAGAAGACTGCACATCACTCAACTGTTTAAATGGAAGGGACCTAGGAAAAGGTCTGAAGGACCAGGATTCTCTATATAAATTTTTATAAAAGCTGGTTGCCATTGTCTTCATGTCTGCCTCAGAGACACCCACCCTGCTCTCTCCTTCCAACCTGGTAATTACAAAGGATCTAGCTCTTGCATTTGCCATTTTGTGGAAGAAGTGTGTGCTTCTGTCCCCCTCTTTAAGCCAAACCACTTTAGTTCTGTCTCCATTTAATTTCATCTATCACTGCCAATTTATCATACTTCAACTTCACCTGAGATCTTTTTAATCTAAGCTCCTTTGATATAGGACCCAACTCTTCTGCTGAATCAATTTCCTTTATGGTACTCAAGAGAGCTTTCTTTTCAGTATCTAAACTCATGCTTTTCTCCAATTTTCAAATCTTTAATCTTGCTTTGATGGCACCCAATTTTTTTGCCAGAATGAAAGAGCTGGTTCCCATTACTTGCAGATCATCCCACACAGTCTTCAGCAAAGGAACAAGAGTGGCATCTTCAAACCAAGCATTCTCCATTTTGAAAGGGGCTTTTGCTCTACCTCTAGCACCACCGACAAGATGAATTGGAATGTGTTCTGAAACTGGCCTGGGAAGGGCAATCTGCTTGAAATCTGGAAAGTGCTCATCCCAATTAGAGGTATTTGGGTTTCGAAAGTCTGATGAAGGGGTGGTTGGGCGGGATTTGTGTTTAAAGGATTTAAAAAATTTAATCAAAGAATTTTTGTTAGAGTTGAATGTGGCTCCCTTAGTGGGTTTTGCGCCGAAGAAGGATATTAATAGCTGTCAGAAAACGACTTTTGAGTCCTGCTCGGGTTTGATGAAATTAACTGGGGGTCAGGAGAACTTATTAGACCATCAAAACGCCAGCTGTATCCACTTAAGCAGTGGTAAGGGCCAGGTGAGGGGGCA